TTATAATTTTAAGGCTAAGAAAGACTTCCTAAGCAAGACATAAAACTGAGGTCTAATTGAAAAGATCTGACAGATTTGACAACACAAAAAATGGAAAATCTGCACTACAAAAGATACCATAAATAGAGTTGAAATCAAACAAACCAATAACAGCCTGAAAGAAAATATGCTCAGCAAATAAAATATAAAGAAATAATAACTAGGGCTTCCCTGGTGGCGCAGTGGTTGAGAGTCCGCCTGCCGATGCAGGGGACACGGGTTCGTGCCCCGGCCCGGGAAGATCCCACATGTCGCGGAGCGGCTGGGCCCGTGAGCCATGGCCGCTGAGCCTGCGCGTCCGGAGCCTGTGCTCCGCAATGGGAGAGGCCACAGCGGTGAGAGGCCCGCGTACCGCAAAAAAAAATAATAATAATATCCAGAATGTAGAGTTATTGCAAATCAACGAGAAATGGGAAAACAGCACAACAGAAGACCAACAAACAAATGAGACCAGGCGAACGGTAAGAACAGACAACAGGAAAGGAACCCAAATCATGAGCAAACATGAAAAAAATGCTGAACCTCATTGAAACTCTAGCGGGATAAAAATTATTACAGGAAATACTTTCATGATATTGAAAACATCCACTGTTAGCAAAAAGGCAAGATCAAAGACACTGTCATACACTCTTGGTACGACTGTAAACGCACAAATATTAATTCGTTAATGCCCATGTCCCTGGAATCTGAAATTCCATTTCTAAGAGTGTATCCTCAGAAAATACCAGTGCCAGTACTACAAAGATGCATGTAGAAAACAAAAAAGTTCACTTCAAAACACAAAGGTGTGGCATATAGACATACACACACACAATGGAATACTACTCAGTCATCAAAAAGGACAAAACTTTGCTGTTTGCAGCGATATGGATGGACTTGGAGGGCATTATGCTAAGTGAAATAAGTCAGATAGAGAAAGACAAATACTGTAATGATATCACTTATATGTGGAGTCTAATAAACACAACAAGCTAGTGACTATAACAAAAAAGAAGCAGACCCACAGATACAGAGAACAAACTGGTGGGTACCAGTGGCGGTGATGGGGGCCGGGGAGAGCCGCAGTACAGGGGTGGGGGAGTGAGAGGTACAGACCACTGGGTGTAAGACAGGCTCAAGGATGTAGTGTACAACCCGGGAACTATAACCAATATTTTGTAATAACTGTAAATGGAGTGTAACCTTTTGAAACTGTACAAAAATTAAAAATTAAAAAATTAAAATTAAAAAATAAGTTAAACATTAGAAACGCCTGCAAATAGAATTCTTGATCAAGGGGTAGGAAGATTTTTAAGTTCTCTTTTTTTTTTTTTTTTTTTTTTTTGGTAAATTTACTTATTTATTTTTGGTTGCATTGGGTCTTCGTTGCTGCACGCGGGCTTTCTCTACTTGTGGCGAGCGGGGGCTACTCTTCGTTGTGGTGCACGGGCTTCTCATTGCAGTGGCTTCTCATGTTACGGAGCACGGGCTCTAGGTGCACGGGCTTCAGTAGTTGTGGCGCACAGGCTTAGTTACTCCGCAGCATGTGGGATCTTCCCGGACCAGGGCTCGAACCCGTGTCCCCTGCATTGGCAGGAGGATTCTTAACCACTGCACCACCAGGGGCACCAAGTTCTCTATTTTTAAGAGGCATATTTCAAAATACGCTGTACATTTTCTACACAGGACTCAGGATAAAAATAATTAAACTGCCCTATAATTATTTGTTCAGCAATATTACAGTCCTGCCGCTGTAAGCTACCCGAGGGCAGAGACCATGCCCAGCCTGTGCCTCATGGTCATTATGGAATGAGCGCAACTTTCCAAGCCTTGATCAAACACCAAATTCTAACGAAATAAACAACTTCAGCTATTTATGAGAGTGTGAGACTCTTAAAAGGACCCCGCTTTGTCTAATGAAGATGGCATGAAACTAGGAATTGGATGACTTAAGTCAAATCACCTAACGCAAGCCATTTCACCTCCCTGATCTCCAATTAACATGTTTGCAAAAGAAGGATAATAACTGTCCTTCTAAACGATTCCTGTGAGGATTCATGAAATAACCTAGGAGGTCAAGCTCAGTGTAGAGCTGGAGTTTATCAAGACTGAGTATTTTGTGCGATAAAATGAAAATTGAAAGATACTTATGACGGGTAATTGCTTCCTTCAGGAAATGGTTTCTTCAGGGAATGGTTTCTTAGAAATACCAATGATTTACCCCATCCCGGCATTGGTGTATCAGCAGAGCCAAGAGTAAGCAGAATGGACAACTCGTCCTGAGCTCTCAGGAAACAGGGTTTTGCTTCAGGAAAAGAAACAAAAGCTTGTTGTTTTGTTTCAGTCTCAAACTGGGGTTTTGACAGACATCTAATCTTCACATCACTTCCTGAGCTTGTGTGGTGGACACTTGGAAGAGGATAGGTCCAGCACCCTATGACATGTCATTGTGTCCCTTTGCAAAGTCGCGAACCCCTGGAATCCATTCTGTACGCGGTGACCTCAGCCCCTGGTCACAGATGATTGATCTAGAAAGGGGTGGCTGCCCAAGCTGGTGCAATCAGAGTATCTCTTCTAGAAACTTGCAAAAGGCCAGCCCCTCTGTTGACCAAAGCTGTTAACTTTAACCCTGAAATGGTATGGCAACCTTTCTCTTTACAGTTATTAAAAGTGGGATTTTTTGCACTCCACTGACTAACCTCAGAGAATTTATCAGTAGAGGTAAGACTGAAATCACAACCTGTTATGTATTTTTGGCTTTGATCTCTCTGTCTCTCTCCCTCCTTCTCTCTCTCTCTGGTCATGCACATGCACGGGGGGCGAGGGGGGCGGGTAGGGAAATTCACAAAACATTAGTACTTGTCATGTAGTTCCCCCCGCCCCCCCAGGGTGCGAGTTTAAAAAACAGGAACAATAGCGGGCTTCCTCATCCACATCCCTGCTCTCCTCCAGCTGTTGAAATTTTATAAGCCAACAAGACAAGCTTGTGGCTGGATGAAACAGCACACAGACGAAGCGCTTCCTAGGCCACAGCTCACTTGGATGCATCGGAGAACGCGCTGTGGCTTTTCCTGTGCACCGAGGCAGGCTTTTTGCGGCCACTAATACGTGCAGCAGAAGCCGTGTGATCCGGAGCACACCACTCAACACGAGAAACAGCTTGGAAGAAGACCTGTGTCACCAATATGGAAAGGCCCCAATCGAGTATTTTAAAATAATGACTTCCACAGCCAAGTTTATACAGATATCCTCCCAAACTCCCCCTCCCCCCATAAGTAGTTTAGGAGCTGGTCTGGAGGGTGGGATGGGAGAATGAAAAAATCGGCAACGGAAAAGTAGAAAAGAAAGAAGAAATTCTTTTTCCCGGAGTTCCAGTGGCTTTCCTGCTCCCGATTCCTTTTTCTTCCGTAAGTTACATGAGATAGATACAGAAGCAGCCTTAAGATAAATTGCTGAAGTTGTCTTGGGTGAGGTTCCAATGTTTGTAACAAAACAAGTCTAAATTTTACTGATAGATGTTACTATCCCCCTTTCTCAGCGAGGAACCTGAGGGTTAATGAAGGCAAGTGAGTTGGCCAAGGTCAAACGGTTCTCGCCCCAGGTTTATCTAACTCCCAGGCCCAGGGTCTTTCCATTGAGCTGATACGGACAGGATGTGTCCCAGCCGATAGCAGCCTGAATTATCCTGAATTATCCGGCTACACTGCCTTGCTGATTTCCTTCTTGGCTCTAGGCAACAAGTTATCTAATGAGAGAATCTCATTCGTTCCTTGTTCCTCTGCTTCCTGTTCTCCAGGTCAGGACTAGAATTCCATTCCCACCCACAGCCCTTGAAATCTCTAGGTCATAGCAGGTCAGGGAGAGAGGAATCTGGGAAGGAAAGCTTTGTGTACCTCTCCTCTCAGACCCGAAGCTGGAAAGGGTGGCTACTGTCTACCCTTGTATTACTTGACTGAGCTCTTAAAAATTAAAAGGCAAGAGGTAAATCTAAGTCCTTCCAAAGGTCAGCTCACTCAGTCTTCCCTCCCACCTTGCCTTTACACACAGGTATTTCTGAAGGAAGTGGGCCCTACAGTTGAACAGAATTACTGCCTCTGAATTTTCTTTATTTCGGTAAAAATTAGAGGGACAGAAACATGGATCACCCAGAATCCTACCATCCTAGCAGTACCAGTGTTAAGGGATTTGGTACATGTTTCCCATCCTTTTTCTTATGCGTCTGTTTCAAATAAAGTTGTTATGAAGGGGTCCGATTTTGTAACGTGTTCTTTTTTAATAAGCATTTTCCCTGTTGCTGCATGTTCTTTGCAACCATAAATTTAAGGATAGACAAATTTTAAGGATATAGCATAATTAAGATGGACATTTACAGGGGGTTCTCTGCAGGGAACCGAATCATTGTAAAATAAACTTTACTTCAAGTTAAAAAAAAACTAAAAAGGTAAATAAGCATCAGGGATGTAATGCACAACAGAATGACTACAGCTGCCACGGCTGCATGATACATCGGGAAGTTGTTCAGATCCTGAGAGCTTTCATCACAAGGAGAAAATCTGCCTTCTTTTTTCTTTCTTTTCTTTTTATTGTCTCTACATGAGATGATAGATGTTAGCTAAACCTGTGATGATTTCATTTATTTCACCGTATATGTAAATCAAACCAGCACGCTGCACGCCTTAAATTTATCCAGTGATGTATGTCAATTATTTCTCAATAAAACTGGGAAAATATATATACAGCTAGTGAGTTTTGAAAAACACACACATCTGTGTAACCACCACCACAGTTAAGATGTGGAATTTTGTCTTCATTCCAAAAAGTCCGGGCTTCCCTGGTGGCGCAGTGGTTGAGAGTCCGCCTGCCGATGCAGGAGATGCGGGTTCGTGCCCCGGTCTGGGAAGATCCCACATGCCGTGGAGCGGCTGGGCCCGTGAGCCATGGCCGCCGAGCCTGCGCGTCCGGAGCCTGTGCTCTGCAGCAGGAGAGGCCACGGCAGTGAGAGGCCCGCGTACCACAAAAAAAAAAAAAAGGCAAAAAGTCCTCCATGTCTACCTTCAGCCCCAGGCAACCACTGAACTGTCACTCTAGACTGGTTTTGTCGGCTGTAGAATTTCATGGATACCATTTACTCTATTTCCTTCCACACATCATAATGTTTTTGAGATACAGCCATGCTGATGCCCGTAAAAAGTAGTTTTTGTTTCTTTTTATGGCTTTATATCCACGGAATGGATATATCACAATTTCTTTATCCATTCACTATCTGGTGAACGTCTGGGCTGCTTCCAGGGTTCTGTTGTTGTTGTTGTTGTTATAAATAAAACTGCAATAAACATTTCTGTATAATTCTTTTTGTGGATGTATGTTTTCATTTCTTTTACGTGCACACCTAGGAGTGAAACTTCTGGATCGTCTGGTAAGTGTATAAACTTTATGAGAAACTGTCAGGACTTTTTCCTAAAGTGTTTCTACAGCTTTACATTCCCAGCAGTCATGAAGTCGGTTCTCATTTCCCCACATCCTCACAGGAGCTGCTGTTGTCAGCCTTTTTAATCTGAAATGGGTGGAGGCAGGACCAAAATTCCAAACTCTTTCTCTGGAAAGAGGTAAAGTATTATACTGTACCGCACAGCCATGCAGCTTGCGCCTCACCGGATGATACTGGTTAATTTCTGTGATGTTTGTTTGGGTGGAGAGCAGGCTAGAAAGAAAAAAGCAAAGGGGGAGGTAAGGAGGGGGGGAATATTAAAGAAGTGAAGGAGAGTGTGTAGGTGGGCAGTGGGGCTCCAAGGACACATCCCAAAAAGGATTAGCTGGAACTCAGAGGTTGGCAGATGTCTGTCATTCCCAAGCTTAGGTTCCTGGATAGAAGGAGTCCCTAAAATTGGCGCAGGAGCCCAGAAATCACACTCGTGGCAGCAGACGGAGACTCCTGCATATGTATGAACTCTCCGATGATAAGACTCAGCTTATCGCTCTGTGAATTTTATCAGTCCTTGCTCACGGGCTTGTGAACACCTGTCTAGAGTTTTGCAACTTGTGAATATCCAGCCTCAATTACTGAAATGAACCGTGTGTTTAGGGTGAAAATACCCTTTCCTTTGCCAACTCCAAAGCATGTGTCTTGCTTCTTGGACATGACCAGTCGTGATGTCACCAGGTACAGCCTAACCTAGTCTTCCCACCGCAAGCATCTGAGAATATGTTACAAGAGGCCATGCTTCAGATCTTGTATATTAAAACCAGGGTCTTAGGTTTGCTAAATCAACATGCTCAAAATAAAATATGTTAGAGCCATAATTCCCATGGTGAAAAAGACAGTGGCTAGTGTACATCAGAGGCTTTGCCTGCTTTCAGACTCATGCACAGTTAAATAAAGGTCTCTGTGCCTCTTGGGTTTTTCCATCTTCATAAACAAGGACCAAACAATGGACCTCCTTGATGCTAACTAAAAAGGGGAAATTTTCAGAAAACCAACCCTATCTGTATGAAGATTATCATAAATTAACATTTATTCTGTGCTTGCCACAGGCCAGGCAGTCATTGCACTAAGCTCTTAACAGGCATCTGAGTGACTCATTCAAACATTTAAACAGCCCTATCCCATACAGTCGTCCCTTGACATCCCTGGGTGATGGGTCCCAGGAGCCCCTGCCAATACTCAAATTTGGGGATGCTCAAGTCCCTCATATAAAATGCTGTCCTAAGCGAGTACAGTCGACCACATCCGCGGGGTTTTGCATCCGAGGACTCAACCAACCGCAGATCGTAATTTCGCCATTGGAAATCCTCCATGGGTTGAATCTGCGGATATGAAACCCGCGGATACGGAGGGCAGGTGCTGTACTCCTCTTATCCCCATTTTAAAAACTGGCGAGGTGGAGTAGCTTGCCCAAGGCCAACAATGTGAAAAGCGCCAGAACCAGGAATCGAGCACACGCTCTCTCACTCCAAAGCTGATGTCCTTAACTACCACCCAGTTACAGCACACAGTAAAATGAACTTGCCACCAGTACTATCTCAATGAATGGAATTGAGTTAATTAGTTTATCTCACCTTGCTACAAACGCACATAGGTTGGGCCATTAGTATAAGCCACGTTTTCCAAAGCGTAACCCAGCAAAGTTTCCAGGAGGCTTCTCTTATTCTCCTTCCTTCTCCAGCTCTGGAGCTCCCACCTCTCCAGACGCCACACGTTTTTAGCAGACATCGGTTGAACCTTAAGAAAGAAGGCCAAACATGAAGAGTAGCTTCTAGGAGAATTATAGTATCATTAAAATGCCTACAGGGTGGAAAAAATCAAAACACACTTGGATCTACACAAATTACACGGCAGTTCACCTGGGTCATTAGATTTTGTAGCAACATAATGTATTTCAAATACTATTAACTTTTGTTCTCTCCTTTTGGGCCCTTCTTCTGTTTTTAACAGCAAAGATATTTCATGCTTATTGGTTCAGGAGATGATGTAAAGAAGGAAGCAAAGGGAAAAAATAATACTTTCCAGACTGTGATGTTTCAAAAGCCCAGGATGTTAGGGCCCTGGAAAGGACTCTCAGCTTAGACAAAATATTTCTTGGAAAACATCCTAAGAGTAAAGCCAGGTAGGAACCATGCAACAGGAACAAGGAAGCCCCTACGGGGACATGCTTGGGCCAATGAAGGAAGACCAAGTTGGGTGGTAGCTGTCTCATCCAATGCCCTTGTAACCTCATTAAAGAGCAGATAAGCCCGTGGGACATTTGGTTCCCCCAAATTTAAATACAATCCTAGAGCAGAAAAAGAAAAAAAAACAGTTAACCGAGATTAAATGTTTTCCACTCTGGTGAAATAAGGGTTTGAAAAAGAAGTTAGATTGAATTTCAAAACTACATTGTAAGTTGTTTTTCTTGTGTACACTCAGGCTTCTGGGCTTAACATTCACGCCTATGACAATTTATACAATTGAATGCAAAGCAGGCGAGCATTCCTGGCAGGCTCCTGTCTCAAAGGGTATCTCAGGGAAGGATGGAAAGGAAGACTTTACAGGCCACAAGTTTGGGAAATTTCTGGACAGCAAAAGGGACAGGCCATGCTTTACTGCCAAGTCATCTCGTATTAAAGGACAATTTGTTTCTTTATAGACATCCCAGAGCAGGGACGGCAAACAATTTCGAAACACTTCTTCTTAGGGAAAGCGCCAGAATGTTACATAAAGTTAAACACCAACGTGCAGCCCAAGGCCCAAGACGAACAGCGAACCTCTCCAAACGTACTAGGAACCCTGTTTCCCTGGAAGGGGCAGCCTCCACCTTGTGCTCTGCGGACTTGATGCCACGGTTTGCTTTTCTCTTTGAGAGGAGCTAGACAGGCTACATTTTTAGCCAACAAATAAAGGAAGGGAGAAATCCACAGAAAAACAGGTGCTGCATCTGGTTCCCCTCTGATGGCCGCATATCCTGAGTGTGGATCCAATTTCATGCACACGTTTAACTCAGCTGCTGCTTTACAGACAGGACAGGTACAGAAATGACAAGAGAGGTGCTTCCTGCAGTCACAAAGGATTCTGGGTCTTTATATGCAAAGTGTGGTCCAAGGATCCACAGGAATAGCATCACCTGGGAGCTTGTTACAAATGGCTCCTCTGTGCTCCACTCTCGGGCCCCACCCAAAAGTGGAGCACACAGCACTTTTAGGGCCGTGAAAATACTCTGTATGACATTATCACGATAGGTAAACGTCATTATACAATTGTCCAAACCCATAGAATATACAACACCAAGAGTGAACCCAAAGGTAAACGACTGATTTCAGGCGATGAGTTAATGTAAGTTCATCCATTGTAACACACGTCCGGCTCTGGTGAGGGATGTGGATCACAGGGAGGCTGTGTGGGGGGAGGGGGCAGGGGGTATATGGGACATCTCTGTGCCTTCCTCTCAATTTTTTCTTAAACCTAAACTTCCCTAAAAAATATATAAAGTCTTTTTTAAAAAATGAGACCCCCAACTGCTCCAGCTCACGGTGGGAGCTGTGTGAAACCCTATAATAAGCACAGAGAGGAGTACAGGCCTGGAGGGAGTCTGCCTGAGATCGAACCCTGCCCTCTTTATTATCAGCTCTACAGCTTTAAACAAAGCGCTCTCTGGGCCTCAGTTTCCTAATCTGTAAAATGGGGACAATGATGATAGTAATGGAATTTAGCTTCCAGGATTGTCGAAAGGATTAGATGGAACAAAATACATTAAAAACATTTAGGACGACACCTGGCACAGTGAGCTCTCAAGAAACGTCAGCTTTTAGTGTTTGTAAGAGGAGGTGTTTTGTGTGTCGATACCTAACAAAGGAGTTGAGATCATCTTGAAGATTTCTTCCCTGCTCTTCCTTTTCAGCGGCAGAAGACACAGTAAATGGTTTTAACTGCTTCTGTCGGGTCCACGCTAAATGGTGGGCAGTGTAGTCAACTCTAGGAAAGAATGGCTTACATCACTGTTTCTCAAACTAGTCATTCTAGAAACGCTTCATTTTTTTAAACCATTTACATATACAACCCTTATACATTATTTTTACATAAATCAATTTACAATGAATTTGGTTTTTTTAGAAGCCACATCCTAGGCAATAAATAAGACCTATGAAATCAGTAGTTTGATGTGCTAAGTTGTATTTTTTTTCTAATCCATGTGAAAGGGAAACCATAACTATGGAAATAGAAACATTCACATATGCATAAAAGTGTGACTGAGAGCTTGAGGAAGTCTCTTCATTCCTACGTGAGCATTTTATTAGCTCCCAGCGGCACTTCTAAATGTTTTGACGTTAAATCTCTCCACCCAAGTGACTTGAGCAAAACCTTCTGGCTTCCAGCTCGTCCAGCTCAGCCAGGGACCAGAATCACCAGTCGATTTGCCCAAGATTTACACGGCCGGTGCAGGGAGGAATAGACCACAGCTTTTCTGAAATACAGAAGGGGTGAGCATCCTTCTTTGCCCCAACAGCACTGAGACAGCAGCTGTGTCTCCAGCCCTATTCCAAGCCTCCCCACTTGGTGACTTTGTGTCTCATTCCTGTGATTGTTTAGAACGCCTTTCTTTCACATCAGGATGATTGGTGCGTTCATACTGCAGAGCTAGAAGTAATTATTTCTAAATGTCATGGCTTTCATTTTGCAGTTTTCCAACGTCCGAGGGGCCCAATCTCTTCCAGAGTCAGTCATCAAAGTTTTTTTCACAGAACCAACGCAATGGCTTGGTGTTCTTGCCATCCTGCTTGTCACAAAGCATATTTCAAAGGCTGAGTCTCCTTGGCCTCAGATTCCATTCTTCTTAAACATGTAAAAAAAAAAAAAGCTACTACAAAAGGAATGTGTGAGCAAACTCCCATGAGTGACAGTCTCCAGCCCAGTTATTTCTTTTCCACATTTTTTCCTCTGTGAATTGCCTAGCAATATTCTAGTGATTCTTGACAACACTAATTAAGATATGAGGAAGGAGGACAAGTTAGTGTCTCTCTGCTCTGCTTTAGAACAAGCGTGATAACATCCTTGGACATGGTTACCATCAACATTCAGTTCAATTGAGTAACTATTTTTTGAGGGTTCCAGGCAAGCCACAAGTGCTAAGTGCTTCCCCGTGACAAGACTTCCATGTGACATCCTGCGGTCATCACAAACGAGGGATGTGTCTTTTCCACCCAACAAAAAATGTTTTCAGCTTGTGTTTATCTAAATCATGCATTCTCGGTGGGAGGAAAATCAGTTCTTAGAGGTGAAAATACCTTGGCCATGAGAACAGTGCGTGGCCCTCCAAAGCTCAACTCTACCCCACAGAATCTTATTTCCTAGAAGTTAATTTCTCTCATCAGAGACACATTTAATTTTAGTTAATTGAAGTATTTAATTGCATTTAATAATTTAATTTTTTTCTCAGGGGCAGCGATAATGGGGGAAGAAAAGGTCGAGAAACACTGAAAATGAAATGAAACTGTACTTCAAATGGACTTCTCCTTTGACCTAGAAATTCTGCTTCTCTTATCCTCCTAGAGAAAATGTTCCCAAAAGAAGCACGTATACAAGGTTGCTGACAGCACCATCTTTTTTAATAGTGCAAAAACCTAAATGTCCATTAGTTGAAATGGTTAAGTAAACCAAACTCTCTGTATTATGAGAGACTATGTACCAGTTAAAAGGAGTAAGGTAAGTCTGGATACAGACAGCGAACCACGTCATATTACTGGGTAGAAAAAGCAATCTGCAGAATACATATGCGTGATCGCATTTATATTAGAACAAAAACACAAGATCTACATGGTTTTATATGCACATGTCATATACGTAAATACAAAAGAAAGCGAATGGTAGGATACACACAAAAGTAATAAACCCAGGTTACCTCTGGGGAGAGGAATGGATGTGATGGTCGAGGGGTGGTGGAAGAGGTCCATGGGCTGTTTATTTATCTCTTGCTTTGTGCTTTGTTTTTGCATTTTTTTCACAAGAAAGAGTCGTGAACAACTTGTAGAAATAAGAATAATAATAAATATTTACACAAAAGTAAACCCTACCTCAACCACCTGACTACTGCCCTGAAGAAAAAGTTAGTCACTTTATTTCTAATAAAACTGGGAATCAAATGCCTGCAAGCTCCAGTTGGGTTAAAGTTGTATCTGTTTAAAAACTCGAATTATAGAAAACAATGACAAAAAGATATGCCAAGGCTTTGAAAAGAAAACGTCTACCAAGGTTTGAATAGAAGAAATCAAAAAGTGAAGAGATCGGGCTTCCCTGGTGGCGCAGTGGTTGAGAATCTGCCTGCTAATGCAGAGGACACGGGTTCGAGCCCTGGTCTGGGAGGATCCCACATGCCGTGGAGCAACTAGGCCCGTGAGCCACAACTACTGAGCCTGCGCGTCTTGAGCCTGTGCTCCTCAACAAGAGAGGCTGCAATAGTGAGAGGCCCACGCACCGCGATGAAGAGTGGCCCCCCGTTTGCCACAACTAGAGAAAGCCCTCGCACAGAAACTCAGACCCAACACAGCAAAAGTAAATAAATAAATTAATAAACTCCTACCCCCAACATCTAAAAAAAAAAAAAAAAAAGTAAAGAGATCGATTTTACTACATAAAAATGAAACAACAGTGAGCAATATTTCTCCAGGGTGGCTTGGAAATACGTATCAAAGTGTAAACCAGCATACCTTTTAACCAGCAGTCACAATTCTAGGAATTACACAAGGATGTTTATCGCTGCGTGCTTTATTATGCAATAGAGAAAAATTAGAAATCACTTAAGAGTCCATTACTAGAGGATTGATTAAGCAAAATATGGCAGATACGTACAAAGAAACATTCTGCATTCATTCCCAATGATGGTCTATTATTTACTGACATGGAAAGAAATTTCCAAGACATTACTGTATTTTTTTTAAGTTGCATCCACCAAGGAGATTTAATGTTGATTTGCAGATACAATACAAATAAGGCTTTCACTAACTTGCCAGAGAGGAAAATTCTAATTGTCAAAAAAAAAAAAATGTATTGATGGTCAATCAAAGAAATTTGGTGGCCCTCTTTCAGGTGTAATGATGACCCACTTGCAAGGTCAAACAAACAAACAGATATATTATTCCCACCTATCAAGTTATCAAATATAAAACATACATATAATGTACAAAAATATACTAAGAAAAAATATACACATAGGAAAGGACAAAATCTTCAATGTAATAGTCAATGAATTTTGACCCCGATGTGCATACACACACAGTGAAACAAGACTTTAGTGTATTTTACTTTATTTTTTTATTGCGGTACGCGGGCCTCTCACTGTTGTGGCCCCTCCCGCTGGGGAGCACAGGCTCCGGACGCGCAGGCTCAGCGGCCATGGCTCACGCGCCCAGCCGCTCCGCGGCACGTGGGATCTTCCCGGACCGGGGCACGAACCCGCGTCCCCTGCATCGGCAGGCGGACCCCGAACCACTGCGCCACCAGGGAAGCCCTGTGTGTGTCTTAATGAGAAAGAAAATATAAGACATTTAAAACGCTGAGTCTGAACGTTTTAAACCGTTTTTCAATCTGTCATCAACGTCCACATTTTTCCACACAAAATTCAGGCGACCAATGATTCTCCTCCGGGATTTTCTTCTAACACTGACACCTGTTCTGCAGCTTTCGATGTTGGTGCTTTCTTGATCATACTACAATCAACCACGACAACCTCTCATTGCTTTGAAATTTCTTCCATCTAGTCTGTGGAACTTCACAATTTCTCCTGCCTTCAGTCACATAGCTTAGCAAGGGATAAAAAAAATCCTTCTGTGTGTATTTCCAAAATAAATAAATAAATAACGCAGCTTTATCTACTCATCGATATCGAATGAGTCGATATCGACTCACTTTATCGAATCCCTTCCTTAGGGTCTCATGAAACCGTCATTGTTTTGCAAGAAGAAAACATGGAACTGTGGTCATTTCTCCACTGATGAATACTTGCTTCACAAATATCCAATTCATGTGCCACCTGTCTGGCAATAATTGTAAGATGCATCCTTGACTTCAGAGATGTTAAACTATGGACAATATACAGCCTAGAGTTGATGACATATAGTGTCCTGTTTGAACCTCCCAACAGCCCTGTGAAATAGTTAATGTTTTTACAGATGAATATGCAGAAATGTAACTAGAGAAAAGAACTTGTCCAAGGCCACACAATCAGTGAGACAGAACAGATACTCAACTCCAGGACCTTCTGATGCTATAACCTGAGCATATGACCTCCACGCTCTGCTACTTCACGAGTCAGTAGAGTCCCCTTCGTCCCTAGCATCATGGTCGACATTGTCATCGCCATGACTCTGTCATGGTCATCATCATCACTGTCATAGTGAGACAGGCTGGGACCTGGGACCCTTTGCTGCAGGGCTTGCACCTGGACAAACGTCTCCTCAAGCAACAAAATACACAGAAACTACATGGGACTACAAATAACTGCGTGCATGCCCAGTTGGGGCAAATTCTGGACGACAAGATACAAAAAGGCCAAAAGAACCCAACTGCCTGTTTCTGAAGAGCCGGGAGCGACAGCAGGGTGCTGCGCAGGCCCCCTGCACTCAACACCACCAAGGGGTGGGCAGAACGCGTCAGCCAGCACTCCCGCCCGACCCCCGGACGCACCCCTACCCTCACCCCACGTAAGGAGCCAGCTGCCCCCCGCCTCAGTGAGCGAACAAGGGGACCTGTTACTTGTTCTCGGTCCCCCTGCTGCAGCAGGGGCCCCAGTAAAGCCTTGCCTGAATCTCTTGTCTGGTCTCTAGTCAATTTCTATTGATTAAGGAGGCCAAGAACCCCAGTCAGTAACGACAGTAATCACCAGCATCGTCGTCATCAACACAGCTAATATTTACTGAGCATGTATTGACCCTGTGCTAGGCTCTGTGCTAAGGTTTGCCTCATAACTACCCAACAGATAGGTTTTCTTATAACCTCATTCCACAAGCATTGATGGTAAGATGGTAAGATTCAACAGGATCAAGTAACTTGTTCAAAATTATTCATCTGACACCCGAATTCAAACCCTGGCCATCTGACTGTAGATACCACACTCTTAACTACTACAGGATTAAATACAGGACACAGCAAACTGTAGGCGCTCGATCGATGACGTGTACACTGTGCCTGTCCCAGGGACTGGTGCGCAGGAAATGAACAATTATAACAATAACAGC